ATACTGTTGTCACGTTGTGAGCATCTTATATATATATATACCAGACTAACATATATCTAGTAAATGCTAGGGCATTCATGAAGGAACAAGATAGTTCTAGAAACGTGGCGTGACACTAGTCACGTGACCTCGCTGACGCAACAATATATATCTATTATTTCATTATTTTCTTTACTTGCATCACATTCTATTTTTTCCGTCCTAATTCGAAATGAAAGGGGGCGTGAATAAATACTAGGCTTGTCTTCTAGTCGTCCTCTGGTGTAAGTCTGTAGACCCAAACAACGCTAAATTCCGCTGTTTCTAAAAACACTTAAGTATTTTTCAAACTTCTTCTCTTTTTTCGAAATAAATACCCCAAGTACTATTTGTGAATTTTTGTTATAAATTCAACCAGAAAAAAAAAACAGAACACCTACAGGTTAAAATTTAACTTGTTTCAGTAGTTTGTGAACACAAAAAAAAATAAAAACTGAACCGTTTTCAGAATACAGTATCCAGATGTGTTCAATCAATAATCTAAAATTTACACACGCGCAGGCTGCGTGTGTATATATATATATGGACAGACACCCAAATGTATTCAGAACAGACATGCTATCCTGACTGGATAAATGAAGACGTACACGGTATAAGACTCCGGAGTTATTATGTATATCACTGTTAACAACGACAACCAGTAACTGTGAGAACATATTATACTTAACGGTTTATGTCATCAACCCCGTAATCTTGGCGCCAACATTTTTTGTTTTATTGGTTCTGACTCACCATAAACTCGTGCGTATAGCTGCGAGTCTGTTTAAAAGGAAGTACAATACAAACGATCTCAATTGGCCAAAGAATCTCTTAAGTTAAATTATGAGAACTAATAGCAGTTACTTATACACTACAAGTAGTGAAAGTACCAAAAGTTTAGGGGGGGGGGGAGGGGATACGGATATAAACAAGGGTGCAGTTCTTAATGAGCTGTTATAAGGAGACGGCTTGGTGCACTGTGTTCGGCCAGTAAAGATACTATTTTATCAGAACTTACAGCTTTTACAATAAGGAAGAATATTTTTAAAATAGGTACGTCGTTTCGGTCACTGGTGCGATCATTCTCAAGTACGCAAGTTTTAACGGTAAAGAAGGTGTTAACATTTATATCAACAATCTAACAATGAATCGAAAAAAAATCCATTGTTTGATTCTTGAATTGAGAATGATCGCACCAGTGACCGAAACAACGTATCTATTTTAAAAAAATATTCTTCCTTATTGTAAAAGCTGTAACTTGTAATAGAATAATACTAATAACTATTAGCTTGTAAGGATGTTGAATACAACAATGTTATAAAGACATTGTATACAACAATGTTATAAAGATGTTGAATACAACGATGTTATAAATATATTGTATACAACAATGTTATAAAGATGTTGAATACAACGATGTTATAAAGATATTGTATACAACAATGTTATAAAGAAGTTGAATACAACGATGTTATAAAGATATTGTATACAACAATGTTATAAAGATATTGTATACAACAATGGTATAAAGACATTGTATACAACAATATTATAAATACATTGTACACAACAATGTTATAAAGATATTGTATACAACAATATTATAAAGACATTGTATACAACAATGTTATAAAGACATTGTATACAACAATGTTATAAAGACATTGTATACAACAATGTTATAAAGACATTGTATACAACAATCATTGTATGCAACAATGTTATAAAAACATTGTATACAACAATATTATAAAGATATTGTATACAACGTTATAAAGACATTGTATACAACAATATTATAAAGATATTGTATACAACAATGTTATAAAGACATTGTATACAACAATATAATAAAGATATTGTATACAACAATGTTATAAAGACATTGTATACAACAATGTTATAAAGATATTGTATACAACAATATTATAAATATATTGTATACAACAATGTTATAAAGACATTGTATACAACAATGTTACTATCAGTTGATCAACACTTCCTTCACTCGGACATTTTTCTACTTTATTTTAAGGACTAATAATGTTTAAGCATGAATAAAAAGATATACAAAGGTAATGTCATATAACTGCCATTTGGTCACGTGACCATAAAGCCCAATGACGATATTGCAGCTAAATATATGAAGTTAACTGTAGTATTTCTATAATTAGCAATCGCTTAAAGTCTAACTTGATGGTTCGACAGTTTTTTCTGAATGGTTAATTCAACTAATAATAATAATAACAAATGTTGTGTCATTATCCTTATTTCAAATCTTATTTGTAAGTTACTTAAATCAAATTGATAATAATTAAATTCACTTGCTTAATCTAGTTCACACCATAACAGTTGTTCATTAAATAGGTTACATAAAAAGCACCTCAACTACTACTGTGTGTGTGACCAGTGAAAGTGAGTTTTCTCGAGGTACTCCTGTCCCCCCCCCCCACCCACACACACAAAGTCTCTAGGCATAGGATTTACAGATCCCCGCCACCTTGAAGGACCACAAGTCCGATAATGGTCGTCAGTTAGAAGTAAAGAAATAGAAGTTTCCACTTTTGACCAAAAACTCACGTTTTTCCGTATACAACCTCTCACTTCTATCACGAGAGGGGGCAAAAAGAAATTCGTTTCTGAGCGCTCCGGGGAGATCTGAGATCGAAACAACCGTCACGATAAAAAAAAAAAAACTACGTCTGTTGTACTCCAACCGGTCTGATGAGCGCTGGTATTTGGCGAAAAGCCTCGTCAGCACCTAATATGGTAGATGTAGTATGTTTGATATTACACATTCTTCAGTGGTTTCACTTATAAAGTATCAGAATTAATACAGGTTTTATGGTCGACAAGGTTAAAATAAATATAATTCATGTGTGGTATTCCAATGTATAAACAAGCCTCAAGTTCAAACAGGAAGTTAGTGTTTATAGAGAAGCCCACACAGGAGTCAGTCTGCTCCACCCGATGTAATGGATACTTTCCAACTGAATGTTTTATTTGTGTTTGAAAGTAAAACACCTTACCTTGTAATCGCCATATTTGTGAGTTTTCCAACATTTTTAAATCTATATACGTTATCTCTAAACAGCATTAATCATTTTCCATCAATAGTGAGCGGCTTAGATGGTAAAGACTGCAATCTAACAACGCCATATTTCTTCAATTATTCGATATAATTCAACGACTGGATT